ATGAATATTATGTTCAAGTAGCTACTGGTAATTATGAGTTAAGTAACTTATTGGGTATAATCTTGGCGTTAACGCTAGTACATGATACCACGAATAATTCGATATTTTACATCTCAGTTATTTATCTATCCTTTCGCTATCTATATAATCATATATTGTATATCCTCTAGCCCTATATAGTCGATTGTGATAGATTTATTTACCATGCGACCCAAAATTCTTTAATGCCTTTACTCCGCTTTTGAGTTGACATGAAATGCATAATAGAACCTGTTACTGGAATAAAAGCGAGAACATGTCTATATTTCGACCATTTATGTACACTCGTATCCCCCACGATGCTTGGATAGGATGCTCATATTTTCGAGCAGTTGTAGCGCATTGAATTAGGATTGATTTGTGCTTGAACTGAACTATCCGTTACCACTGCACATGCATATTAAAATCGTATCCTCTCGTCTCAATACCAAAGTTGTCTCTCAAGCAGCAGTATCAATCATTGGCTAAAAATTTTATTGCCAGTTGAGAGCTACGGTGGTAAGATATCCACACTCGGTCAAGACTTGCTCTTACTATCATTTACCTGGAAGACCACAGCTTTCATCCTGTTTTGTAGCTTAATGACCCGCACTTTTTACAGGTCTCACGATCCACCACTTGAGAATGGGTGCTTCGAAACGATGTAAGGCCATGCTTGTTCGTGTGCTCCTTTGATGTTGCCGACCCACAGGTCAGAAAATGCGGTGAACACTGTTAAACTGCATTTTATGCTCTGTATGCAATGCATCCTGTCGCAATCTGATTCGGGCATATTCGGCTACTCGGATGTACATGCCATCTAATCACATGGATGATTGTTTGGATGCAAACATGGTGTAGAGCATTAACGATAGGGCACTGTGATTGATCACTGATTGTGTTACAGCCCGACAATTGTTGAGATGTTCCAATATGTTGCGCTATCGAGTCGGTGAACACGGTTTTGGCTCGTTCTTTTTTTTTCGTTCGTGTGGTGCTGCTGTTCATCCATATTTCTTGGTGATGGGTTTTACAAATGTTCTCTGGACTCGACTAAGATCAAGCTCATTCAGATGTGTGCATCGTAAGCATTTTGGTGCAACACAACGTATTGGAACAAACTTGTCGTACTGTGTCATATTGCCTTAGGTAGCCGTCAATGAGTCGAAGTGAACAATCGGTGTACACATCACATGAGAGTAGTGTGGATGCCAGCAAGGAACGGAGTGCCACAATGGTATCTTATGCATTAGTGGATATGAGCAGAAACACTTAAAGTCATTTTTAATGGCATTTTTGCGAAAATAATATTTATAAAGGTTATGTCATATCGCATTTACTGTGTGGTTACTCGTTGAGTGATCAGAGACGGGGACTGATGCGGAATTAAAAGAGCAGTGCGAAACTTGTCAAACTCGCATGTATGAACATATCAAAAAAGTTGTGACGTTGATGTTCCTGGTGTGTCAATTGAGAATTGGTGAGTATATCGGGCACTCCGTCTATAATTTAGTGGGGTAGAATGTGGATTCTATTAATACATGCAATTATTTGACCGGCAATGAATTACAGGCATAGAATGACAGCATTGGGTAATTGTAACAAATTACGTTGCAAACACTAAATGACAATGTTGATGACCAAATTAATTTACATATGAACAAATTTAACTATGTATTGAAAGAAATGCCGCGTAAATAAAAACGGATTATTGTTTGCTGCTGATGCATATCTTTCTAACTTCATCTAAGGCTTTGCTGCCCGATGAGGCTACACAATACTATTTTCTAAGTCTCAACACCAACCCGCTATTTGGTCATTCAGCTCTCTTTGAGGCAGTCAGTGCAGTTTTTACTACGGCCGGCAACGAGAAAACAAAACTATGGTAATTAGAGCTGATTGCATGTAGAAAAAACTACGGTAATTAAAAATGGCCCATCAAGAGAATGTGGTGCTTTGGCCGACCATATGTGAGAAAAGTGCGACCCTGGATCTTTTCACCCATCGGCTCTCTGCAGGCCATATTACTCTGTTTCTAAGCTATTCAGTATGCACTCAGAAATTTCCAATCCAAAAAGCGGACAAGATTTTATCGGCGGTGCGATGCAACAGTTCCCGATGTTCATTCTCGAATATTTGTTATTTTACACAACTGATGATAGATGACACGTATTGGGTTCTAGATATTTCACGAAAGGCACCAAAATGCTCCAATTCGAAATATAATAAAAACCAAATATTGGATGTGTTTCAACTCTGTTTGACTGCTATCACACAATTAGCAACTAGAAATACGTTTCAAACTACGACGCATGTTGATAACGCGATCTTTACTTAGTGCATTTCGCTGGTCTGGTTTCCCATGTCCGAGTGGGGCTAGAACATTTTTGCATTTTGATTTTTTTGGCAGCGCTCTGATCACATTGAGGTAATTGATTTTTCTGCTATGCAACATCGTCTTTGAAAAGAGATGTGATGACACACAAAAACCAGTTTCAGAAACAAGATATTTGACTCTGATACACTCTCATGGTTAGTAGATAAAGAATTTGGCAGCCTGTCTTGTTTCATGACTACGAAACGACGCTGCCTAAACACCATTGGCATCGAAAGTAAACCAGTAAAAGATAACGAGCTGGGCTGATCGCAAAAATGGGAGCAGAAGTATCGGCTGTACAGGATGCTACACGAGAGTCGTTTAGAGAGTGTACGATATAGACACTTTCTTGGGTATATCTTGTAAGAACATATTGCTGTCTCAAAAGTATCACATGACTCTTTTGGTGAGTAGTAATCTATAAATGTTCTAACCGACCACAAATATCGTCGTTGATAAAAAAATGTGAAAATCTGATGCAGTTCGGGATAGTTGATCAAAGCATCAATAGAAGTTACAGCATCATGTTTGGTTTCAGGTTTATACGATGAGCAACACGAAGAGGCAGCGGTCCTAGACACAAAAATAACCTGATGTTGTTGGGCAGAAAATCCATGCTCACGCAGGGATGTGCATACTAGTTTCATAGTGCTGAACTGCTTCAAACAAAGAAGATGAGATTAGATAACAAGCATATGTTTGTGTGTGACGAATTTGAAAAAATATTGCTGCGCTTCAAGACATGAGCGTTCTATATCTCAACGAACGAACTAGCTGCCCGTTGCAGCCAATCAATACGGCTGTTGTCAGAAACAGACTTCATTAACAAGAACCTCTTTGAAAGCGACAAGGTGTTGATTCCACCAACGCTGATTAATGGATTTTTATCACAGTTGCACACCAGCATAAATCACTTGATGCTACACACCATGCTCAAACGGCAGCTGAGGGGGTCCAAGAACACATATGTCCAGGATGCAGTGCTTTTAGACCTATCTACGCGATTCTAACTATACTCGTGTCCACAACAGGCGTATATCATGGATTCGTACATGCACTACTCCTCATTGAACAGAGAAAAAGCTCCGTTATAACAATCACTGTTTTTTGTGTCCAGTCAATGACTAATAACACGTATCTACGAGCCCTCGATCGTGTCGTTTATCTCGACGGCTTAGAGCCGAAAAATGCCCTATACTTACCACTCTCGAATGTATAGAGCGTTTTCTCGAAAATAGCATCGATTGTGATTCTTTTGACGGCATGGCTCCAAGTTTGTGTTGCAGCATAAATATCTGCAGACTAGATGCCATAACAGGATCAAGCTTTCTGAAGGGCTGACGAAATTTATGTGCAAATTTTGTCTTGCACTAGAAATCCAGAACCAGATGATTTGCAGCGATCTGTATAATTCCTGCCTTGAGAATAACAAATTCGAGGATGTACCTTTTTAAAAGAATGCAATGTAGGACTGGTGCTGTGCTGTCTCTTGCGGTCTGTCGTACGTAATGTCGGCAAGAAAGCTCGCCATTTATAATCTTTGAGCATCGGCCATACAAGTGATATTTGCTTATTAGACTGCTCTTGCAATCTTTCGGATGGGTATTGTTTGAGTTGTTTCAGTTCAAGATCAGAAAAACATTGATTTGTTTGGTTTTGATTTGTGCGAAATGAAATCGCATGTATCACTCTTTCGATTTTCTATATGTACATACACGTTATATTTCTTGCCAATTGTTTCCGCTCGATTTTATTTTAACAATGTTTGTGTTGGTTCCAGAGCATTGAAACGGTTTGAGGGTGTGCTGTTCCGAAATTATTGTAATACTTCTCTATTCTTTATTATCGATCGCCACTTTATCAAATATGATCTTCTCGCCAGCGTAACTTAGATTGATAGGTCAGGAGTTCTTCGGTGCAGTATTTTTTCAGCAAATGGCATCATCATCCAAGCTTCCAGACTCTTACATTCATTACAAGTATAGGCTGCCAAATTCTCTTTTGCCAACTGCAGAGCCATTCAGGTGCATCTTGCACATTCATTTTTCGATGAGGCTGGTAAAGCCATCAAGATAAAATGCTGGCTGTCGTGTTGCAACCTTGCCGCGCAAGTCCTGTTCATGAGTTCGAAAATGCCAAGAGCGAGTGAAGTTTGTTCGAATCAATTAAGCATGTACATATTTGTACCTGTAGATATTTCTGACCACACGAAGAGCAATAGGAACGGAAACTGAACAGCGGTAATTTGTTTATTAGAGTTTGGTTGCCATACACCGATTGATATTATATTCCTGCATGTTGTCACACGCGGTTTTATACGAACACATTTTACTCCCTAAGCGACGAGAACTGTGGTGCAGACAGAGTATTTCTCAAATAGCACGTTATTGAAGTAGTGTACCGTAATATGCAACATCTTATTATCACGCTGGGTAAATTGTGTGAGATATCTGCGCTGCAATTGATTATTTACCTGGTTATACAGTGTTTTTTTGATTCCTCTGTTAGCAAGAAGGGGGTTGAGATTTTTTGGATAGACTGCAAGACGAGCTTTTGAGACCGATATGATGCATGTGATACCAATATACAGATGATCAAGCCTTTATGATTGCATGCTAGTGCTTAATATATCATCAAACACAATCAGGATGACTGTAAATCCATATGGTGAAAACCAAGCATGAAATCTGTGTTATTATCGCAACAATTAGATACGGTTACGATGAAGCGGATAGATGATTCACTCGTCAGTAGCACATCTCTTCTATTCTCATCCATATGCACAAATTCCATGCACTGACTAACTATGAACCTAGGGCCTGGATGTACTACAAGATCCATATATCCCTGTGCATTCGATTGGCAGCACATAATTGTAGAGGGTGGATGATGAACGAAACAAGTGCATCTTTTGGAGACTTTGCTTCTGCATAATTACGAGAACAATCGAATGAGCAAATTCATTAAAAATGACTGCTGTAATATATTACGGCATCATGTTGTTGCACTCCAATTGTACGATAATTCAATGCTATCTATATAGCTATCAACACTTTGATTTATACCATTGTTCGTTAATACATGTTCTAATTGGTTTTTCTGGTACTCTGCAACAAATAACCGCTTATTACCCATGTTGACCAGACATAAACATTTCTGGTCATGCTGAAAAATTGGCACGATGCGAACAAATTCGGATTCTTTGTGAGCATATCTCATTTTTCTACTAGGTTCATTCTCTGCCCATTATTACGAACAACTCTTACCTGTCTTAAGTTACACATAATATCTAATTTGGCAGTCATTTACCTTCAGTTGCTTCATCATTTGTGCTGCTGCTACTTATTGCAAAACGCGCTTCTGTTATTTAACCGAGTAGAAATACTCTTCACCAAGTCATTTTTGTGACTCTATTCGCTTGCCCATCATTTTGTACATCCCCAGTCCTCAATCACCATTCGGGCTAAACCCTATTCACAACCAATATGATCTTCCACTATTCTCTTTTAGTCTGGATATTTTCAATTTTCTGTAATAGTGATATTCCAGGGTTCTCGCAGCGGTGTTTCCACATACATCAATTACTGTTGTCAAAGTTACAAGCTTTCGATGCCAATAGTTGGAATTATTACCCCTGTCAACATTGTACAAAGCATTCAACCAGAGATGTGTGTTTTTGAGTGTCGTGACATGAGATGGCAAATAAACGTACCTTTGGTTAAAAACGTGCTTTTTCAAGCAGTAAATGAAGCATCATGTTGTGATCACCATCTTTATGTTAACTTGTATAAACTTAATTTGCCATGTTAATCCATCGTTGATGTCTTGTTTCACGTATACATCGTGAACTATCTTATCATGTGTTTGTTTGATACTGGGACATACGGTATAAATGTGCATAATCTTTTGCGTGTAGTTAAACATTCATAGCATTATTTTTGTCAGTCACAGAAGGATTAAATATCTTTGAGCCGCCACTTGTTTCGACAACCCCCACCATTTCATCTGTTGAACTCACACGATGGAGTATAACGATAAAGAATGGCATCTAGTGTATCGAGATACATCAGTGTCAAAAAACTATCGAAACTCATACTAATCACATACATGCAAGTTATACTCGATGACCACCTGCGGCAATTTTTCATGCCATTACTATCGGTCCCAGCTACTTGTATTTTCCGCTTTAGCTGTATTCCTACATATTTTTCACGCACCAAAGCATTTTTACTGTGGACCGATTCAGTGGTGCATTTTATCTCGTATCTAAGAAGTAAATGGGCCAGTTTGAACTGTACAATAGTGTAATTTGATCTAGGAACTGTTTTGCATCGTTATACAAAGCACTGTTATGCAACCTACCTGATATCCGCAGAAAATATGCATTCTACCAATGATTGGTCATAATTGTGTATGTAGTGTTTTGTTCCGCAGACCACCACCTAGTTTCTGCTTTATTGCTTTGACCACTTTACTTCACACTGTCTCCCTAAATACATCGGGCAACAAATATTTTTGGTAGCCGTTCCCAACAAGGACACAGCAATGCTCCCATGACATAAACGGATTAGTAAAATTAATACATGTTTTTTCTGTTAATGCTAACTGCTTTTTACAGTTAGATTAATTGTAAGTGCTTAAAAAGAATATGTAATGGCTGATGAGTGCTGGTATTGTTCTTTTTTCGGCTGCAAAGTTACAGCTGCTCCAAAATGTCTGCTGTGATACTCCTTACAAAGTTCGTGGGTTTAAGAAGCATACAATGAGGGTGTCTCGTTATTCGTTGAGGTGAGTTCTCGCCATGTTGATGATTTAAAGACATTTCGATGTACTTGAGAATGCAAAACACATGAACTTGAAAGTTACTATAGTTACTTCGAATGCCTAAGGATAGCAACAGACCTTATGAATCAACGAAGAGTGTCGTTCAATAACGTGAAAAAGCATTGGTCAAGTTTATCGATGAGCTTAAAGGAATGGCTACACATCAGATGGTAGCAAATTGTGGGATGATGCGCTACGGTGTTTGAAGAAAATTTACGAATTGTCACGTGATGCGATGCAAATCACAGCGAACACTCGGACTGAGTATTGTGATTTCAACTCGAATAAACTACCCTATTGGAGAAAAAATGGATACATACGAGCAAATGGAAGAAGT